GGGAAAATTTATTATTTTATGAAGAAAAAAAATAAAATGGTACTCGTGGGGTTCGAACCCTAGCAATAAAAATCCGAAGTATCATTTTCTTTCGAGACTAGCACGCTAACCACAAGACTACACAAGTCTTGATGAATAATGGCATTTAAATCATGTTTGTGATATGACCCTTGACTTAATGGACTTCAAGTATTCCTAGAAAAGATGCGAATGTTATGTCATAAAAGTATGTTTTTAAGGTATAGTGGGTCTTTGCTCCATATTTTGGTAACCAAAAAATGTATATTTTTATGCAAACTTTGAGGATCAACTTTCAAAAAAAAGGAGCGAAGACCCACTCATATCGAAAAATAGTGTTATAGTACGAAAAAATGACTTTTTTGCCCTCTTTAGTGCGTGTATAACATTTTCATAGGCAAAAAAAAAATTCAATCTTGGAGAGATTTTTGCAAATTGTAGAGAGATTTTACATAAAGTATATTTTAATGAAATTATGTTATATGAAATATCAAGGAAAATTTGACATAATTGAGATTTAATTTTTCACCTTCATGTTTGTCACTCTATAGGCTTTTCGCTCGACATGTTCATCCATCTTCTTTCAGTTATATATTTTTCACACCTTACATTGTGTGAAGAAACAGTGAAAATTGCCATGTTGATTTTACACTAGAAAGAACTTACCATTCTGCATTTGATAAGAAAACAATAAAAAACTTTTTCTTTACTCACGTGCGTGACGCACTGTATGCATGCACCGTGTATGATTCATACAGCATGCATACATTAAACATAATCATGTGGTCACGAGAAACAATTACTCTTACTGAATTGCAAGGGTTAGCACCGATTCATTATTTCCCCCTAAAATTATCTAAATACATATTATTGTTTTAAATGAGTAATGTAGATTATATAATAATGATTATATACAGTATGTCTTTTCACTGCGCATGTGTAATTGATGCTGAAAAGACTATTTCTGTCAAGACTAAATTTGTAGATGTTTATAATACCTTGTTGTGAGTATTTTTCAGGACTTTATATATATCAAATTTTATGTCTTGCTCAACTTTAACCTTATATTTTTGTGTATAACTACATTTACTAGGTGGTCTACACAAAATTACGTAATTAATCGAATTTCCACACCCACCTGAATCGTTTGTATTATCTTATAATATGTTCAGTGTAAGGTCAGATTGTTATGTAGATTATAATTTGTTTCTGTCAGTGTAATTCTTGTGACTTTCACTTTCATTCAATTTTTTTTATGAAACATTCGATGTTTGTGGTCAGAGTCGTTCAAAGAATATCTCATTATATACTCCGACATTCAGACCTGTAAATGTATGACAAGGGCAAAAGATAGCAAACTCTGGAATTATACGTAACTTGAAATAACGATCGAAAGTTCAATTACAAATCGTAAAATTAATGTTCATAAAGATTGAGAAGGATAACACTACACTGAAATTTGTCATTTACCGATTAATTGTCACCTGAAATGCTTTACAAAACAGTAACAATGCCGTTGAATTTTTACCTAATAACTTAAGAAACTATAAAGGAATGCTTTCTGTATTGTCCAGCTTCTTCACAGATTCTACAAAGTTTAATTAATGTAAGTCTTTTATATGAGTTGATAAATGGATCATAGGACGTCAAGGTTGTGGTTTTCCCATGAGTTATATTAATATTCAACTTTTAGGATCCACCTGATAACCTCGAGAGAGAGAGAGTTAGAGAGAGAGAGAGAGCTTTTCAAATTTTCAAGAGAGAGACTAGTTTCAAATTAATCAAGAATTGCAACTCTTACAGCATAAACTTTTTCAAGAGCACAAGAATGAATTGTCTTTCTTGAAAGTAGTAAAAGCAAACTAGATGAGAAAAATGGAAACTCGCACAATACAGTTTTGCCTTATACAATTACTTAACCATCTAATCATTTTTCTTGTCTAAGCATGTTCGAGGATTTTTTTAAAGACTTGTTCAAGAATATAGAACAATCATTTGCCAAACAGCTTAACTTGAGCATGGCAGTCTCTGCCTTGCATACTGATTAAATTCATTTGATGCATGGCAGACTCATCATGACAAATACAGGAATCACTGGATTATGTTCTACTTGCATGTATCTGGTGTCTTTTACATAAGCTGGTCAACATTCAGTTATGTATGACTTGGTTATACAAAACTACACAATTAATGTTTTTTTTTTAGGTCAATGTGATGAATCAGCCACCTGAGGAGTACATTATTCACCGAGCCTGAAGGGCAAGGTGAATATTGTACTTCGATGGTGGCTAAATGATCGTATTGACTGAAAATCAGCAATAATAATTGTTTTTTATTTGATTTAATGATACAAACTCATTAAGCAAACCGTGATATGTTTTGTCCTTTTGTTCCAAATTGTTGTTTTGGACCAATTGTTCTAAGTATTCTGTGATAACTACTGTTTTTCAAACTGAGAAAAAATTATAAATAAATTATTAATGTGAATCATATATGAGCATTTATTGTGTTTATCAGATTTCCTTAATGCTTGAAAAAAGTTTATCAAAGAATTCCCAGTTTGTCTCATCTCAGCGGTTGATACCAGTCCTATTACATGTACAAATCCATCTGAGTCTTTGGAATTTTCACTGTCTGAGGTCTGGCAACTCCAAATATTAACTTCAACCCTACAATATATATATTCACCTTAAGTAATGTACATTTTCAACTTTTTTCTTAGACATAAAAATAAAATAATTTTTATCAACAATTTGTAGCATTACTGAGAAAGTCCACTATTTCTAAAAATTTTGATCACCTATTGTGGCTCCAACCATGTCAACTTTTTTACATTTTTGAACATCACTTTTTAACTACAATCATTGGATCAATTTTAACTAAGCTACCTCAACTCTGCTGGATATTCAAGGGGTCACAATGTTTTATGAAGGAAAATAATCAATAGTAAAAATTGGGGTGGGATTTTAAAATCTTTTCAAGAATCATGGAGCTAGATCACTTATACAGCAGCTTCCTTAAATAAAAGCATACTTGCCACCCCTCTCACATTCTGTGGCTCACACCCGCAAAATAATAGAGAGGTTTAGCAAGCTCACTTGTATGTGTACATGTACGTGTAAACTACAAGTTAGAATTACATGTACACGTTTACATTATTTTTCTCGTTTTGCAAAGTATAAATTGTACGTGTACTTGTAAGTGTTTTAAATGTAAAAGTGCTTAACATTAAAAAAAAAATAGAAAACAACATTAAATTTTATATGCATATCACCCTTTTAAATGAATATATGCTTATATTCATAAGAAAAAGAATGAAAAGAGCTCTCATAATTTTGATCTGTCAAAGCTTGTTTTGAAAGTCTAGATGTTGTATATTTAACACTCTATAAAATTATATTTTTCAATTATAGACGTTTTGTTCTTTATCATGTTTATATCAGTATTAGCATTAAATCTTCAGGTTTTAGGAAAACACACACTTTTTAAAAAATAAACAGCAGTTAAAGAAATATAGGCTACAAGTTTGGACTTACGTGTACTCGGTAATCTACATGTAAGTGGATACGTGTAGAAAATCGTCATTAGCAAAACTGATGACGTAACGCACAGATTTCCTGGGGGAATCCCCTGCTACACGTACGCGTACACGTTGGTTTGCTAAACCTCTCTATTATCATTACCCACCACAACTGGTAACCGGCCACAGGTCAAATTATCCCATCTACTAACTGATTCATGATAAACTGCTACCCATCAATTATTATAAAGGAGATATTTGTAGTAATTTTGAAAGTGAAAATGAGCAATGGTCTCCGTAATCCCAAGGAAAGGCTATATATAGTAACAAATTAACAATGAAATTTGTCATTGTTTCAGCCTTTTATTAAATGTCTCAAAGAATGAAATAATTCATATATAATTATTAATAAATAGCCTTTATTAAATTAATAATATGTAGCTGAACTCATAGACAATAATTAATTCAAGAAGAGGCCCATGGACTATAATGCTCACCTGAATTACTTTACTCCAAAGATTTTAAGAAGATTTTTGTATTCCCTTGCAAAAATTGAGACAATTTAGAATCTACACATCCTCTGAAATCTTCCACATCAGTTTCACCTTCTCTGGCCCAGTGTTATTGAAAGGAAGATTTTTAAAGATTTTACCTATATAATTCAATGTAAAACTTTTATCCCCTATTTTGGCTCTCACCCTATCCTTAATTATGGGGCCATGATTTGAACAATTTAGAATTTACACTGCCACAGAAAGTTTTCACATAAGTTTCATCTGTTCTTGTCCAGTGGTTCTTGAGAAGAAGGTTTTTAAAGATTTTTCCTGTATATTTCAAGATTTTTCTTGCATATTCAAGGTAAAACTTTTGTCTCCTGTTGCGACCCATCTTAACCCCTGGGGTCATGATTTGAAGAATTTAGAATCTACACTTCTTCAGGAAGCTTTCACAAAAGTTCACCTTCTCTGTCCCAGTGGTTGTTGAGAAGATTTTTTTTTCTGTAATATTTAATTGTAAAACTTTCAAACCCTACTATGGCCCCATCTTACCTCCAGGATCACGGTTTGAACAATTTAGAATCAACACTACCTGTAAATTTCATTCTCTCTTGCCCAATGGTTCTTGAAAAGAAGATTGCTTTAATGACCCCACCCTATTTTTGTTTTTGTTTTTTGTTTTGATTACTTAAACTTGGAAGCAGGCTTGTTCCTTCATTTGAACAACTTAGAATCCCCTTTACCCAAGGATGCTTTATGCCAACTTTGTTTGAAATTGACCCGGTGGTTCTTGAGAAGAAAAGGAAAATGGGAAAAGTTTACTGGTGGGGGACAGATGCCGGACAACAGGTGATCAGAAAAACTCACTTTAGTTCTCAACTTAGTTGAGTTAAAAAAAAAATGAGATCTGAAAAAAAATGCCTTATGTGGCTTTTAGCTGAGAAATTAAAAGTAAGCATACCTACCCCAGAATCACAAGCTGAGAGTCTACACACCATCTAGATATTCGCATCATATGCACCTACAAAAAGGTTCCTTAAATTAAAAAGACAATATTTGATCTTAAAACTAAAATAAGATGTCCAAAAAAAAAAAATGAAAAAAAGAAATAAGAGGCCCATGGGCAACAACAACCTGAGTCTGAGCCAGCAAGTGATGGCATCTCAATGGGAGTGAAAAATTCTCGAAGGGAAGTTAAACGAAGCAAACAAACTAAATATTTTCTTATGGGAAACTCTGGGCGGTCCATTGTGGCCCTACTTTCAGAAATTTCAACTTTGCTTAGGGCTGTCACGCTTCCAACATTTTTCGGGTCGGGTTGGTTCTGTAAATTTTCGGTTCAGTTTTGGGTTTTTTGGTTCGGTTATTTACATCTATTTTAAACCTTAATTTCATGAATTTAACTTGAAAAATCTTTATTTGTGACATTAAATTTACATTGAAAACAAGTCTTAACCATGCGAACGTCTAGACATCGCTGTGTAGAACTACTTGGCCTACTATTAGCCACAACCTGACCATTCCTGCTCGTTTTAATAATTATCTAATACTTCCGTGACAAGTGTTTTGTCATAGAATTAACTAGATTTCAGTTGTGATGGTTATTTATCACTGTTATCGTCATCATTCCTTTGATTTCGATGCCATTTTTTGTATTGAACAGACTCTAATATATAAACCAGACCCGAACCGAAATGCGGAAAAATGGAACCGAAACCGAACCGAACAACTTGGACTGCGATTCTCGGTTATTTCGAGTACTCTTGACAGCCCAAGCTTTGCTGGCCATGTGATTCTTGAGAAGAATGTTTTTAAAAGATGCCATTAAATTTTCACTAATTCTTTATTACCTCCCTTTGTAAGAAAGTGTGGCCCTCTATTTGAAGATGCTTGAATCCCCATAACCCAAGGATGCTTTGTGGCAAGTCTGGTTGCAATTGGTGCAACAGTTTTGTGAAAAGTTTACAGAGAGATGGATGGACAGCTGGGCTGGACAGACCTAAGCTGGACTAAATGTAATCAGAAAAAAATAGAGAAGAAATTTTATCAGTATCTGCAGAACTCTAAATTGATTATTAAAGTTCCTATCATGGCTCAATTATCGTGATATGTATTGATATAGAAAAAGTTGTATCGTCCCAGCCCCAAAGTATGAATGCCCTAGCACCAACTATTCAAAAGTTAGTAAAGGATCAAATTTGGTAAAAGTTTGCAAAAGTGTCACACTCCAAGGTCAAGAGGTCAAATACATGTATGTTGGTATCCAAAGAAAGGTATTTTCAAAAGGAATAAACATGTAAAGTATGAAATCCCTAACTCCAACCAATCAAAAGTTATGGGCAAGGTTAAAGTTTTTGCAGACAGACAGATGGATGGGCAGAGCAAAAACTAATATGCATCCCAATCTTGGATTACAGGGCTCTCACACCACTTTTTGGGACTGGGCCCGGGGCCGTTCAAATTGGGAAATTACCATCATTTTTGGAAAATTGGGAAATCCAACATTCATAAAAAAAAAACCCTCAAATTTTGTTTTCTAGCATTTTGTCATCAATTCTGTTTTTGAATGAACTGTTAAACAGAACAAATATGGATAGGATATTTATGGAAGTACAAACAAATATGGATAGGATATTTATGGAAGTACATTGGCTTTGCTCATTATTAACTTTGAGTGTTGAAATTGTAGTTATTTGTCTTTCTGAGTGACAGTCGCTAGTCACACCTTTCTGAATTTCCTCGATCACATGGTCATCGCGGTTTTCAGATTAAGCATGAAACTGACTGGCGCAAGTGGTGCTAAGCACAGCTTACTGTTGTTTAAATAAAATGTCTATTTTATGGCACCTAGATGATGTTTTCTTGTCAATTTTACTGAGTCAGACATAATAATTCGCATTATGGCTCATTGTTACCTAAGTCCATAATAACAATAACCTGGTTCCCCGAACCAGTTTACAAATATATATGATGTGAACTAATTAATACAGTCGTACAGAGAACCTATTTGTTTCGCTTGTAAGTGTTTGTTTTTTGGCTATCAAGTTTCATTGAATTTGATTTTTTTTTAAAAATATTTTGCTACAGAAAATTGGGAATTTTACACCTTTATTTTGGGGAAAAAGGTACCTTTTTTGCATTGGGAATGGGGCCATTCAATGGCCCCAATTATAGAGAATCGAGAGCCCTGGATTACAGGGGCATTAAAAACAATCTACTAGTACATAACTTGGGAATGTTTGCATATGATTTCTTTTAGTGTGGATGGACAGAAGACAGACAAGACAAACACTATAAACCCCTGCAATATTCATGTTCGCTCATAAAAATGTTATCATTTTATTTTTTATTTTAAGTTAGAGACAGAAATAAGGGTGCTAAAAGAGACTTCAGTATTGTACCTTGGAATTTGTTTTAACAATATTCACCTATTAGTGGCTGGTGATTGGATCTATATCAGTAGGGGTGAAGAGGCTTGCCACCTGGAGTTTCTCTTGAAAGTCCAGTCACATGTCCAGTGTATGAAGCTCTAAAATAAAGAAATAAAAGTTTACAAAACAGAAACATGATCATGATAAAAATGTACATCATAAACAATACTGACTACAGTATAAACTGTCTATGTATACAAATAATGAAAATTATGCCAAAGAAAGGACCAAAGAGGCTGCATGAACATCAACACAAAAGAGGAAGTATCCCTCACAATAACGGCTTGCAATACCAAAACTCAGGAACAACAAACCCAGGCCTATTACCAGTTCCTACAAGAAGACTAAGTAAACTAGAGGTAATGTGAGCACTGCACTGCCACTCACAAATTGATAACCTCTGATCCCATATTAGTATAAAGGAAAAGTCCATATTTTGCTGTGGGAAACCCGAAATACCTGTTCAATTAAAATGTGAAATAGGAGGTGTGCAATGGCACCATATGTAATAAAGATTCTGTTAAAGAAAGCATCATTAAATTTTATTCATTGTTACAGGAGGAGTTGTGTATAAGAGATGGGACCCCCTAATATTATAGAAAGAATGGCAGTGTTTAGGTTTTGCTAATGTGCAGCCACAAATAAAAATGAATTTTTCCAGAAACCAATGCAGAGGGCTGGAGCAGTGAAATGATGCTTTTGCAATCTGGGCAAGGCAAAGCTTGATGACTCCTATGCAGTAACAGTGTTTATAGGTCACCCAAATTTGAAACTGTTCGCAGTACTTCACTAAGTTATGGATCACAAAAGACCTACAGAAGTTACTGACCTGAGGTAGATTACCACACTGGAATCATAATGGAGGGAAAAATGGCCTGGCTTGATTCTTCCATCAGATATTAGAAGTCCTAATACTGTATACAATGTTTCATGAGAAGACGCTCAAAGAAATGAGGGGATCCGAAAGGGGACATAGATCCCACACAGCTCAAATGTGGCCTTGGTTGTATCTTTTGAGAACCTGTCCAACAACAGAGGATATGTGTGGTATGCTTCTTGGCACAAATAATGAACCAGAAACAGCTGCCAATATACAACAGACCTGCAACAAAGTGAGAAAAATTACACATGATGTGAATGCAACCTGCATAATGATAATTAGACAATTTTTAATAACTTACTGAGTGAACAAAGAGGCCCACAGACCACAGTGCTCACCTGGGCTTTATGATCCTGATGAAATATTTGGATCCTACACTGCAGCCCTACTACCCACTAAAACATCAAAGGGTTTTGATTTACCTGGTAACTGAACAGATTAACACAGGGATGCTTCAATATCAATTTGACTAACATGGCTTTGCCTCTGGAGAAGAAATTTTTTTCCTGTTTACATGCATTATGTAAAATTTGATCACCAATTTTGACTTTGCTGACCCCAGGTTCCATTATCAGAAAAAATTCCTATGTTAAACTCTCATCATCTACCCCCCCCCCCCCCCCCCTTTACTCTGACCAGGATTTGTACAAACTCTACTACCTGAAGTTGCTTGCTTTTCAATATGACTGTAATCATGGCCCTGTTGTTCTGAAAGTTACCAGATGATTTGAAAGATTTTTTTTCCTATATATTTCCAGGTAAATTTGATCCCCTATTTTTGCACCACCATAGCATTAGGATCACGATTTGGAAAACTTTCATCTGCATTATCTAAGGCTATATGCATATTATTATGACAAATCTTGAACCCATCATGCATGAGAACAATTTTTTATTATTTTTCTAAATATTCACTTGTATAACTTTGCTCCCATATTTGGCCAAACCCTACCCTAGAGATGAAGAATGGAAGAAAAGAATCTGCACTACATGTACATGAAAATACATGTACTTGCATATACAGTGACTTTTCTACATTTTTTAAAAGGGGCCTGGGCCTTTACAATTGGGAAAAATCATTGTCATTTGTATAAAATTGTGAAAAATCAAAAAGATTGTAATTTAACCTTAATTGGCAGGTAAAATAAAATGTATAAGTAAATGTAAATGTACATGTACACTGTACCATCATTTATTCAATTTATTTCAATTGCTACAAAATAACATATATAAGACACAATTTTAACTTTTTTTTAATCTTTGAATGTTGTCATTGTTACCAACCTATATATGCCGGATGTAGAAACAGTTTGATTTTTGTGGAATCAGGGATGCTTGTTGTAGAACTACATACTGTACATTGGCAAATAATCACGATGGTTTTAATTTCACTATGTTCGCGATTCATCATTTTTCCGTGAAATTAAACCCATCGTGAATGCTATCATTAGTTTTTGAAAACGTTTAAATGCTTATACGAAATTTTAATTAATTTCCTGCTGTGTTAAATTAAATCCATTGCGATTGGTACCTTTTGAGAAATCGAGAAATTTTAACACCGTGGAATTAAAACGACTTACAGTATACTAGTACTTGGATTTACAAATAAAGCTGTTTCGCCGGTTCACATGCATCTTACACTTTCTTACAATGTATTTACACACAAGTTCGACAAGACCCATGTGTTTTTCTAGGTCTTGTAAATGCACAAAGTAATCTGCTGTTCCTTACTATTATTTCAGGAGTCTGAATGACCGAGAATAATTAGCGTTCCATTTCAGATAAGTTGTATATAAAAAATTCAATATAACAAAAACAACAGTTTTGTTTTTGGAAAAAAAATAACAGAAATTGGGAAAAATTGGTAATTTTTGAGAGGGGAAAGGGCTGATATTCAAACCTAAATTGGGTGTAGGAAAATCACTGATATATCAATATGGTTCATCATTTTCTAGCTGTTCTTTACAAGTTTTTTTTTAAGTTTTCTCCCTTTATATTCTTATGTTAAAAAAACTGTTAACAATAGTGTTTATTCTGCTGCCTACATGTACCTCCAAGTCAATTTTTAAAAGTTTAACACATTTCAATGTTTTTTTTTTCAGATTTATATAGATATTTATATGAATTTTCACAAAACAGAACTAGTTTGTGAAAACAAAGAGAGATAACTCAGTAATTTTGGTAAAACATTGTTTTCAGTATAAATAGAAAATGGAATATACTTTTCAAATATCATTATTTTACATAAGTTTAGTGACAGGAAAGATTAAAAGATCATTTATCCAAATCTAACGTCCATGAGTATATATAAATCTGGCTACATTTTAAAGTCTGATTTCAAGGGAAAAAATTTTATACCCCCTTATGTGGAAGAGTTGCATTTAACAGCAATTAGTTCATTAACACTGGTTTCAGTGCTATCAGTCATTTACTAATGAAGTCAACTTAGCATTCCAAAAAAGATTAAATAGCACATATTTCAAAAATGCTGAAGTATGAGTGTAAAATGTAGACAGAAATCAGGATTTAGCACTCACAGTTCTTATCCCCCATTGTTGTTAAACCCTAACACCTAGTACCATAATGTAAGCCATGTTGAATCTGCTCTACCTGAGGAATGCTTGTGTATCAGTATGACTTATCATTTCCTTGCTGTTGTTTTTTTTTTTTTTAAATAGAGGTACTGTGAGCACTGAGCTCATAAAATGATAACCCCCCCCCCCCCCCCCTACAAGTATGATGGTATCTGCAGAACTGTAGCATTATGGTTTTATATATTAGTCTTTGATCATAATGCTACAGATCCCATAATGCAAATATGGTGCAATTTATGGTGCATCATTTTCTGCCCACAATTCGGGAGTACTTCTCCACTTTTCAGCATTGGTTAATCAACTACAATGATTTGAACAAACTTGAATCTATACTTCCTAAGGATGCTTTTGAATTAATAAGACACATAATGGCTTTGTTGTTCCTAAGAAGAATTTATTGATATTATTTTATTGATATATCGTTTTCATTCCTTTGTATAACTAGGATCCCCTGTTATGGCCCCTCTATCCTTCTGGGGGGTTGTGGTTGTCATGATCTGAACAAAATTGAATCTACATTTACTGAGGATGGTCTTATATAATTACGACAAATCATAGATTTGCTGTTCTTGAGAAGAATTCTTAAGATTTTACCTATGTATTCCTATGTAAAACTTTGAACGCCCATTGTGGCCCTACCCTACCCCTGGGGGTCATGATTTGAACAAACTTTATTCCACACTACCTGAGGATGCTTCCATGTAAATATGACCAATTATGGCTTTGCTGTTCTTGAGAAGATGATTTTTAAAAATTTTCCCTATGTATTCCTGAGTAAACCTTTGATCGCCCATTGTGGCACCACCCTACCATCGGGGGTCATAATTTGAACAAACTTGAATCTACATTACCTGAGGATGCTTAAACATAAGTTTCCTATTTTCTAGCACAGTGGTTCTTGAGACGAAGATTTTTAAATTATGCCATAAATTCTTCACAAATTTGTAATTATCTCCCCTTGGAATAAGGTGTGGCCCTTCATTTGATCAAACTTGAATCTCTTTTACCAAAGGATACTTTGTGGCAAGTTTGGTTGAAATTGGCCCAGTGGTTCATGAAAAGAAGATGATAATGTGAAAAGTTTACAACAACAACAACAACAACGACATTGACGACGACAGACAACAGACAAATTTTGATCAGAAAAGCTCACTTGAGCCTTTGGCTTAGGTGACCTAAAAAGTATTTAATAAATGCTGATTCTCATTTTCACTTTGATGAGTGAAGTCAAGTTTTTCATGCAGGTTCTCGAATACTACATGGATCTCTCCCTTTTTCTTGGCAGGGATCTCAACGAAATTTGTAATCAATGTAATCACGGAGATGTGTGCACAGTAATTGTCAAATGTTTGCTTGAAATCTACGTTAACATCAGTATGATAAAAACATTTGTATGTTACTAGTCAATTCATGCAATATCATTAAAACCAATGAGATTTTATGACCCAGAGGCTTCAAAAATGGCTACCAAAATCATCCAAAAATAGATTTTGTAGAAAGAAATGGTAGATTTTTTAATAAAAGTGGTGGGCAGGAAATGCAGTAAAAAAGTGGTAGAGAGATAACATGAATGATTATTTAAACAAACTTGAATTTGCACTGCCTGATGATGCTTGCATTAACATTTACAGTGTATATGACAGTACTAATTTATGGCCAAGCTGTGCTGTTGCAGCGAAGATTTAATTTCGAAGATTTTCAAAGGTCATCAGATCACTTAAACTGACATACTGGGGGTATGAAGGCCTGTGATTTTTTTTCAAATACCATACCATAAAAATTTGTTCCCTATCATGATAGCACAAACCTAACCTCTAGGGGTGAAACAATACACCTCCTTCACGGTTCGATACGTATTGTATAATTTTGTCTCGGTTCGGTTATTTTCGATACGATACATTTTGATAGAAGGAAACAAATTCAACGTTGTTTTATGCTTTCTTTTTCTAAATCTAGTCACATATTTTATGAATTTTATTTGCAAATTGACTAGAAGAAATTGACTAAAATTAATTGACTGTCAAAAATTATTTTACAAGCTATCAGTAATCAAAAATTTACGTTTTCTATACTTATTTATACTGAGTAACGTGTTTTACCTTATGCCAAACCCGACTGAATAACGATCCCGACCAAAAAATGAACTGAACCGAAAATTAGAGATTTTGCACCGTGTATCAAACCGAGAAAAAATACTGCGGTGAATCGATACCGCGGTGAACCGTTTCACTCCTACTAACCTCTGTATCATTATAAAATGAACACATGTACATGCATGTAAATCTGAATGTCTGATAATTTTTTATTTAAAAAAGCAGTGTGAATTTTCAAGATCTAATGCTGATAGTACATGTATGTAATTCCTGTAATTACACATGTACATAGTTTATAGCATCATTGCAGGGGTTGAAATATATGGTAGCCCGATGCCTGGGGCTAGTCATTTTAAGACTCAGGCTAGCTAAATAAATTTAAATGTAGCAATAGTCCTTTGGACTAGCAGAATGGAAAAAAAAATTCTCATCAGTTTACTTTCGCTTATCTATGTAGACTGGTTTCTTTTGACCGAGTTATTTCTGTCATCAAAGCGTTTGAAACTTTAACTTGTTATGTTTTC